TATTGTTTGTTCTAGTTTTTCCATTAAATACCAGCACATAGATCCTTGCCTCTGCCTGTTTTCCACAGCTTCTCCACAACGTTACAGTTTTTCACCGGCATGTCTCTTTGACTAGTGCATCTTTGAGCCTATATTTAGTATAAGTAAAATACTTAAGTACTGTTAAAATCAGATACTCTAAGACTTTTACTCAAGTTGTTTTGGAATTGGTGACTTGTAACGTGTAGTGGAGTAATTTTCACTGTATGGTCTCTGTACTTTTACTCAAGTATGGTTTTTAGGTACTCTTTACACCTCTGGTGAAGGGAAGGATGGGTGAGGGGAAGGAAGGGGATGAGGAGGAACCAATGCATATGTGAGAGACGTTTTCCCGCATTTTCTCTCAGTGAGATGTGGAAACAGTTAATGCACTGTGTGTGTATTGTCCGTTTCAGAAGATCAAAGTGTCTGAGTTTCTGTAATTCTTACACCAGTCATGCAAGTACAGCTCCTATCTGTCTGAATAAGCAAAGACCGAAATCTCTGGCTCTGTTTGTCAAGATTACTTTTATTCTAGAAGGCTAGATTGTTCAATGTTAAATTATTGTATACACTGTTCATTATTAAAAAAAAGTGTAAGGTGCAGCAGATGTTACAGCAAATGGACATATTCTACCCCCATGGCTGCCAAATGCACCTGGTCAGGTTGTTTATAAGGGTCTAACACCCCTCTGTGGCCACACACAGTCACACCTGGTCTCACCTGTCTTCTCCCTGCCTCCTGCCTGCATATGATATGATGACACTCTATAAACTCCTTAAAAAGACAGAAACAGAGGGGAGGAACGACTCACAGAAGTTTAGTCTTGAACACCTCGCCTCTATAAAACAGGTTACACAACAGTCACATAAGATCGTTATGTTATCCTATAAATGGTAACATCTAAATTAATTGGTTTTAATCAAGTCAAAAATAATATGTAATATCGCAGAATCAACCCAAATACAATAATTTATAACAAAACAAATTTTAACAGGGAAAATCAGAATTTTGAATTAACTCTTGAAGGTAACAATTGTAGCTTACCAATTTTTACAGTGTATCAAGTGAGGAGCCAATCATCTCAGAAGCTATATTCTATATACATTTTACATATCTAGATTGTTAATTGTATACAGATATGATTTAAGCTCTAACGCTGTTTAAATCAATTTTACAATAATTCTTTGGTGTTTTAGTGTCACACTGTCATGGAGGTAAACTTGTAAAATTTGATATAATTTTACTCAAAAAAGGCTAGTATCTGTGAAAAGAACTCTTCAGTTGATCTGCAATATGCCATAGCAATTTGGACAGTATTACTACACGCTAGCATCTTTTTTAAAAAGTCAGATCGTAAATTTTAAAAATGACAAAGAAATGGCAAGTAATACATTGATTTAAATGTAAAATTGTGAAGTAGAAAAACTGAAACAGTATTTTCTTGTAAAACCCCAATAATCTATTTACTACTTCAAAAATGTTTTTACAGTGTACATGTGGAAATAAACAAATATGAAATTAATAAATGCATATAAATAAATAAATGAAAGTTAAAAATACATGAAGGATAATTAATATTTTCTGTAAGAAATTACAGTTTTTGTTAAACAACCAATTCAAGAAAAGGCAAAGTTACCTAATGCATTGGCAAATAAACTGCATTCTGCTAAATTTTGGAAGCCAGAGCATATCAAATAAAAGCTTGCCGAAAGCTGAGTATGTTGTGTTGTGTCCAGTTTAAGTACCGAATATTGTTAAAAGTGTGATTTAAATAGAGATTACAAGGCTAGCTAACACACTCAGTGTAGGTTATATTTTTAAGTTTATTTACTCAAAGTTTTGTCTATGAAAAACCCACTGAATTTTCTCATTAGAGCCCAGAGAAAAAAAAGTTAATTTACACACTTGGTAGAAACGTGCTTCCAAACGTATGCAGCAAGTTGTCATTTGATATATATCTAAAATAATAACAACAACAAATTTGGCTTTTCATCTAAATTTAAAAAAAATGAATTACTTAAGAGCTACTGTATTCCAATGATATTGCACATTTGATGTTGATATGATGATATTGCATTGTTTGTTTTGGAGGATAATAATATCCCAATTTTTGTTTGAAACAAAAAATACTAGGTCACTGCCACAGAAAACAAGCATTTGTAGTCAGACTTTTGACACAGCACCTTCTAATTACAACAATTACTATATAATGTATCTATATACCCCTTGTGAAGATTCCCCATGTGAGAAGCCCCTTTTAAATAATTCCTGCCAGGAGCTAAGTTAACATGCACCATGCTTGAATCTGTATATTATAACAATGCCAAATGATCTAGTCAGATTTAGATTTATTGATAACGTGCATATATTTCCATTTATGAACATATGGATTTTACTCAAAAAAGGCTAGTATCTGTGAAAAGAACTCTTCAGTTGATCTGCAATATGCCATAGCAATTTGGACAGTATTACTACACGCTAGCATCTTTTTTAAAAAGTCAGATCGTAAATTTTAAAAATGACAAAGAAATGGCAAGTAATACATTGATTTAAATGTAAAATTGTGAAGTAGAAAAACTGAAACAGTATTTTCTTGTAAAACCCCAATAATCTATTTACTACTTCAAAAATGTTTTTACAGTGTACATGTGGAAATAAACAAATATGAAATTAATAAATGCATATAAATAAATAAATGAAAGTTAAAAATACATGAAGGATAATTAATATTTTCTGTAAGAAATTACAGTTTTTGTTAAACAACCAATTCAAGAAAAGGCAAAGTTACCTAATGCATTGGCAAATAAACTGCATTCTGCTAAATTTTGGAAGCCAGAGCATATCAAATAAAAGCTTGCCGAAAGCTGAGTATGTTGTGTTGTGTCCAGTTTAAGTACCGAATATTGTTAAAAGTGTGATTTAAATAGAGATTACAAGGCTAGCTAACACACTCAGTGTAGGTTATATTTTTAAGTTTATTTACTCAAAGTTTTGTCTATGAAAAACCCACTGAATTTTCTCATTAGAGCCCAGAGAAAAAAAAGTTAATTTACACACTTGGTAGAAACGTGCTTCCAAACGTATGCAGCAAGTTGTCATTTGATATATATCTAAAATAATAACAACAACAAATTTGGCTTTTCATCTAAATTAAAAAAAAATGAATTACTTAAGAGCTACTGTATTCCAATGATATTGCACATTTGATGTTGATATGATGATATTACATTGTTTGTTTTGGAGGATAATAATATCCCAATTTTTGTTTGAAACAAAAAATACTAGGTCACTGCCACAGAAAACAAGCATTTGTAGTCAGACTTTTGACACAGCACCTTCTAATTACAACAATTACTATATAATGTATCTATATACCCCTTGTGAAGATTCCCCATGTGAGAAGCCCCTTTTAAATAATTCCTGCCAGGAGCTAAGTTAACATGCACCATGCTTGAATCTGTATATTATAACAATGCCAAATGATCTAGTCAGATTTAGATTTATTGATAACGTGCATATATTTCCATTTATGAACATATGGTTCAGAGACAATTTCTATGAGGACCTTTGGTAAGCTGGAGCCGTGTACCTCTGAAGAAAGTGATGGCATCGCGATTGTTTGCTCTGTGTGCCGATGCGGTTCATTTAGACGCTCGAGTCATTTGCGCCCCTGACGCACGCGTTTAGAATCAGTTCTGAACATCTCATTGTTTACAGATCTGGATTAAGTGCTCGTGCGGTGATGACTCATATTGCACCATGCTTCACATCCTCACGCAGTCGCATGCATTCATCCTGTGCTGTTCGCTTCACTGCAGTATTTCCCCCAGTGAGCGACAAGCAGTGTTGCGCACGCGATGTCTCCTCGAAGCAAACAGCTCTGTCCAGCTTGTGTAGGCTATGTTTAATTCAAGAACGAGTGCTTGATGGGTATCACAGCATTGACTTGAAATTTGTATTTAAATCAGCGTTAGGGGCCGTTCGCACAGGACGCAGTCTTGCGTTCAAACAGCGTGGTGGAGACGCGTTTTGAAACTGTTTAAAACTTGACGCGACGCTTAAGTAACAGCGTGACCGCATCCAAAGTCCAAGACGTCCGTCTGACGCATTTCTACTAAGACCAAAATAAACAAAAGGCACAGACAAAACGCGAGGACGCAGTGGGAATGTGTCTAAACAACCAGACGGAACGCAACATGATGGCAAATCTCGAGATGCGGCGCTCGAGCTGGCGTCTGAAAAAATAAATAAACAATATTAAAAAAACATTTTAACGCGAGACGCTGAACATGTAGACAGGTAGACACGACGCGACGCTACCAAAGACGTCCGTCTGACACCTGTCATAGACCAACAATTAAAAACAGCGCGACGGTGCGCAGCCGAAGTTACGCAGGGGTTTTACGCAGCTAAGGGCGTCTTAACGAGACGAGTTTAGAAATAACAGCGAGACACGACAACGACGAAAGACGTTTATGCAGTATGTTTATAGCAGAGCTGTTATACATGTACTCCTGCTCATCGAGCATCTATTTTTACCGAAACCTTAATGTGATGTAGCGTAGTTTTTTTTTTCGTTTTTCAATGTGTGTTTTTTCTCCTTTCAGCACTGGATAGCTCCTTCAGTTCTACAAACACGCCCTCCGTCAAATGACTGACAGCAGAAAAGACCATACACCAATCAATGGCACTTTCCCAAACCCTATAAGGTGCTGAAGAAGACGGGATGTTAGTAGTGTTGAGAAGTCCGACTCATTTCCTCGAATCGGTTCTTTCGAACAGTTCAGTTCAATGCAGCCGATTCGCAACCCGTGAACTGGATAAGCGCTCTGACCGAACGAGTCTGATCTGCGAACCGGTTCAAATACTTCGTTTAAAAGAACCGATTCAATGAACGATTCCTACGCGAATCGGACATCACTAGATGTTATAGCAAATGGTTTCTGCCGTTCTCATGCTTTAAGACTGGAGTGGACGAAAGAGGGCGGAGTGTGTTTGTCATCCAAGTGTGAAGTACTGACTCCCTGCCTCCGATAAATAGGATTTTTCCCCCTCTTTCATTCGATCACGTCTGTTGTGGTCCAGCATCATATTGGGAGGAGAGCGTCGGGGATCCTGCACATCTGCTGCGCTCCTGCTAGGAGATACAAGACCGAGCCAGCATCACTTACACAAACAACGCCAATGTACCTGAGGGGAAAGGGATTACCGATGCAATAACTGTCTTCTGGCCAGGAATCGGGTATCAGAAATGCGTGAAGATCCACAGGTGAGAATGCTGTGCTGATTTGATTCACTCCAGCTGTGATTTCTCGCATCAGAATTGGTGAACTGAAGCTGGTAAGGTAAAAGAGCTGGACTGAAGGATATGGCCATAATCCGGATATCGTTACTCTTGCAAGTGGGATTTGTTATAGCATCAAATTATAGATATGTGGAACATGATCGGGACCTAAAAGCAAAGCTACCCATTTACGATACGCACAACAATCAGCAAGCGCACCTCCGGAAACCCCATTCGGGTTTAGCGCTGAAGATTGAGGAACAGGTACCCAGAGTGGTGACTGCGTTTCTGCACACGGGGGATTCCTCCACCTTAAAACACGCCAACTGCTCCAGGAGATATGAGCTGGCGGTGTCGCTGGGCAGGACGCGCGGAGACGCTCATCACGCCATGCGCAGCGTCCTGGACACGGTCCTTCACGCTACAAACGTCCTCAACATGATCTTACAAACGAACAAGTCCAGACATCACAGCCCCAGACGCGATATGGAGTGGTACCACGCTCTGGTCAGGAGTATCCTGGAGGGAGACCTCAAGATCCATCGAGCAGTGGTCACCTTGAGCACCGAGTCCCCTCCTGAAGGGCCACCTGTTTACCTTCAGGCCACACGGGCAGGTGGAGAGATCATTCTCCAGGATTTATCCAGCACTGCCCACCATATATTGAAAAACAGAACGGCTGATACCGAGTGGTACCATGAGCATAAACATAAAAAGAAGACCCATCTCCAAAAACGAGTGCTGAGTCAAGATTTTGCCTCTTTTGACGCGTCTGTGCGCAATGGAGAAAGTTATATTACCGACAAAACTCAGATTCACTGGTCAGCTCCGTATTTGGAGTGTAAAAATGGGAATTTCATTCCCAAATGGCTCATGACACTCTCTGCTGGCTTCTATGGCCTTAAACCCAACCGGAATCCAGACTTCAGGTAACTTTGATAACATGGATTGTTCAGTTTGTGTAGGCTGATTAATGCACACAGAAAAAAAGAAATGGTATAGAAATAAATTTTACTCAGAAATTGCCAAATTTCACAAACAATTATAAAGAAAGAGCAAGTAACAGACTGAATTAAATGTGAACACATAAATGTGTAAAACATAATCTAATAATCTTTATTTACAACTTTGAAAATTATTTTTTTTACAGTGCAGATTATCCACACAGAATCTGTTATTATGAGGATTACTATGTTCTGTTTAGTAGGAATTAGTCTTTTTTTAATTTAGCAAATTAAATCATTATATTAATGAATTCAAGTTGATTTCTATAGTTCTTACAATACAAAAAAAAAGTTTAAATGCATGTTTCAGTGTGCATTTCAATCAGGAAGTATTCTGTTATCGGTCAGAGTTGAGTGTGTCCAAACAATGTCCATTATTACAAAATTGCAACGTTACCTAATGCAGTAGCAATAATTGTTTTTCATAGTCTTATTGTTCACATTTTTGTATTTTATCCTTCGGATGCTATTGGTTAGTATGACAAACCATCACTGCAGGTGTAGAGAGTGCTTCTAAAAATAACCAATGCTGGTTGCATAGCAAGAAACCCCATGGCCCCCGAACAATCAGCTCGCTTCTCAATATACAACCACGGTTATTGGAGATGATTAGACTGATCAGGCTAACATGGTGGAGATGTTGTGTACAAGGATCCTCGACTCAGTTCAAAGATGAGTTAAGGGGCGCCAATAACACTGGAGCTCAGAGACAGGAATAGGGCTGTTTCCTGTTTACTAATTAATCCCACGGGTACCAGCACCATAGACGCCACGATTGTTCGTTATAAATTCTTTAGATTTTTGTGTGAATCATCATCTATGATGTGATGCAATTATTGCATAGTTGGACTGTGGTATGTAACATGGACCAAGCTCAATTTGCAGTGTATGGCAAAAATGGTGTTTCCGTTTATATCTGCCATCTTCAAATTCTCCAGTCTATCGTCTAAATAAGCAAAGCAAGCAGAAGCCAGTGTCTCTCTGGGTTTGTTCAGTAGTTATGCTGTAATTTGTAACCTCCCTGCGCAGGTCGATATTTGGCCAAGGCTTTATCTTATGATGGCTTGTATCCCCTGGGTAGTGAATTCTGAAACACTTGCTGGCTGTGACATAAAGGTAGATCCATCCTGTTGTCTTTAGGCCCACTCTTTGCCACCTATATGTATAAAGGGGCAATGGAGGGGGGAAGGGGTGTTCTCTAAAGCAATGTCTCCAGTTTTCACTCCCAGGATACCTTTCAGTCAATACAATAATGAATAAATAATGAAAGATGTACAACAGCAAAATAGAGGTACATCTCATACATCTGACATTTTTAGTTTAATCTTGCATGTCGGAATTTTAAATTTAGAGTTCTTATCATGGACAACCTGCTATTTATGAAGCGAAATGTCTGGGTCATGCAGGTGAAAAGTTTATTACATCTAGTTGAGTCTTGAGTCTTCACTTTGACAAATTCCATTATCTGGTGTAACTTGAGCTGATGGACACGTAGAGCACATGTATGATGATTAGTAAGTAGGTTTGTTCTTTTTTGGACAAACTGTGAGAGCGGTGCTCACCGCCACACAATGTGAGGGTGTTGTGGTTGGTTGGCAGAATATCATTACATGGATGCTAAGGTGTTCTGAGTGATTTTAGAATGCTGCTATATGGTTGCTAGGGTCGTCTGTGGTTTCTAGGGTATTGATAGGTTGTTCTGGGTGGCTGCTTATTTGCCCAAGGGTCAATGATGTGATGTTCATTATTTTGTCAGGATCTATTCATGTATTCAAAAATGCAATTCATACATACTGTGAATTGAATAAAAGCCTTGCATGTTATTAATTTTGAAAACATTTATTTTGATATTTCTTGGAGGCATAAAGTCAGTGTGGCACAATGGTCTGATTTCCTAATGAAGAGTAAAATAATGAAATTAAAAATCCATATGGTTCAAACAACATGTAGAAATATGCAGAAACGTTTACGTGAAACAGCAATATCTTTTAAAATTTAACATTTTATGACAAGATAATGCTAATTTAAGTTGTAAAATGTCATATTGTGCAACTCTCCAAAAACATAATATTATAGATTATATGGATTATTTATTAAGTTTTTTTATGTATTTATTAAATTATTATTATTATTAAGTAATAATCCATGATATATGTTAAAAATTGTAACACTGTATATATACATATATATATATATATATATTTATATATATATTAAAAGACTGGGTCTCTCCCAAGTTTTTACACGATTATTAGAAAATTAATAGTATATGAGGCTGCTGTTTGTTCTAAATCATTGGAAAAGAGTTTGCTGATTATAAGCAGTTGTCTGGTATAGGACTAATTATCAAATGCGGAGTGCTCATGAGATAATGAAACACAGTGGCAAACCATTCTAGAAGATTGAAATTAATTTTACTTCTTGGTTCCTGATGGTGAAGGCTTTCTTGTCCTTCTCTCACAGATGGCTCTATTTTATGTAGCTGTGCATTTACTGTATGTGTTGATTTCTCTCAAAGTGTAATGGGAGATTTTCTTTTGAACTTAGAAATGCATTTCTCAGTTCTTTCACAACTGCAACCATATAGACCTTGAGTTGCAAGCTGGAGTACTATCCCCAAAGTGCTACAATAATTTTGGAACTTCACAATTCTTTAGAATGTAATAGTTTGGTGTAAGATTAAGATTTGCCCCCTCATTCGTATTTAAATAACTGTTTGTGTACATTAAATAGATCTAAAGTTACCAGAGCTTGCAATCTTTCTACTTTGTCAGATGTGAGTGAGGGTTGGATGGAGAGAAAAGTGAACTCTATTAAGGCTGTCTGGTTTGCCAGGGGCCTCTGGGGATACACAAATCCACAATGTCCTATTATAACCCACATGGGCTGTAGGTCCTCTGCCCTACAAGCTCCTGCCAAGAGCCCAAGGGAGCCTGAGTTAGGAATAGGCCAATTACTACTGACATGTTAGTCTTAAAGAGACAGTGCCTTTTCTGTAACATCATGTTCCTATTTGTTTTCCAATATGGGTTTTCCAGGGGTTTGCAAGCATCAAAACAATACAAAAGTTTAATACAGCTTTATTTTTTCTATACATTAGAATGTTTTATGTTGTATTCATTCATTCATCCATCCATCTGAGCAATATCATAAAATAAAAATAAAATAAAATAAAGACTATAATACATTTTTACCATTATTTACAGAACGCATCCACTAAAATGTCATTCAGTGTAGCAATAGTTTACATACTAAAAATCCTGTCAGGCATATTTAGAACAAGAATCATTAGATTACATTAAAAAGAGCCCCACCAAAATGAATTAATTATTATTTTAAATCTTTACCAATCTGTGCCACTCTCCTTCAAACCACTAGCTTTTACCCATTTGTCAGTTTTTAATCATTTAAAATATAATACAATTTAGTATGATCGCATTTTATGTTATATATTTTAATAAGTACATGTCATAATAAGTATGTTGTTTCATTTTTACATAAATATATCTGTTATGATGAATGTCAATGGAACATTATTAACTCGTATTTTGACATTTTATTTTCACAGAAGTTATTTGAAACATTAAAGTAGACACTTTACTTGCAAGTAATATTTTTTTCTATGTTTATAAAAATCACTTTTGTAAGTTTAATTTGATGCATCTTTGACCCACTTTTGACCGGTAATACTTTAATATTAGATTTAAAATATAAAATAATAAGATATAAAGTTACACTGCCGAAATTACAAGAAATTAAGTCATTTTCAAAATAGTAGACAGTATAGTGTATACAGTGCAGTTTAACTGGTATTCCATTCAGAACATAGCTAATATGAATGCATTGAAAATGGCTACTGTTAATATTATTGACCTCTTGTCTGAACAAATCGAGTCCTTTGGGAGAAATCCGTCCATTTCCTGTGTGAGCTGGAATTAGTGTGAACACGGTTTATTGCTGTTCTGCTCGGTTTTAATTGAATTTCAGTTTGGCATAAAAAAAGCGAGAGCTCATTAAAAAGAAAACGCATAGAGACGTATGTCACCTCTTTTCATCCAACACGAAGCAGGATCTCGCCACGAGCGCTGTTATGCTAATGTAGTCCAAAAAGAAAGGAAGACAGTTGGATAAAATTCAATTAGCCAACAAAACCTGCACAATGAAACAGGAGACTGCTATACATACTCTCTAAAGAGCAAGCTGTCATTCTGTCGTGGACTTCATGAAATATGGATGGACGAAGCATAGAGTAATTTTTAGTATTTGTTCAGGCAGCGACAGATCCTCAGCTAGCTTCAAGGCACATGTCTATTGAATGGCAGACGATCTTAAAAGCATCCTCTTAATAAATCAAGTGCACTGAAGCATTATGTTTTAGTATGATCTCAATGTCATGTTGTGCTTCTATTTTAAGGAAACAAAATGAGGGAAATGTGAGGGAAATGCATTAGGTTGACAGTAAGAGTTTTGGCTAATGTGACTCAAGGCCCTGCTTGTCATCTGTGCTTTGAGACCGGCGTCATTCCATCGAGTACTCTCGTCGTTATCAAAGTCTTTAATGTCAGCGAGCACAGTCACGCCATCTCTTTGTGCCCTCACATTTCAGCCCTTACCCCATTGCAATTACCCAGCCCCATCAACAAACACTATCTCTTCAGCCAATGTTCCTTTACAAGGTAAACGTAAAAATAATTTATAAGTAAATTGCTTCCATTTTGTATCTATGATAAGATATTTACTGATCTCTAAGACTGACAACTTCAGCAAAGGAAAATATAGGGAACTTGTTATGCCATATGCCATTGTACCATTGTAAAAAAACAAAGTACACTTAATTATATATGTATATATGTATACTGTATATAGGGTACAATGGGGCTAAAGGCGCCCCGGTTTAAAAGGCACCTTTGATTTTATTTTCATCT